CCTGTCCGCACTGCGTAACCTTGCTCCCCCCTCTCCCTACGCCCATGGCTGTGGAAGAGCCGTACCTCCCCCCGGAGATCATCAACTCCTTCGTCGCGGACGGCCTGGTCCCTCCCCCGTACGCGCACCGCACGGTCGTTGAGTACCGCGCGCACCTCCATCCGGTGCCGCCATGGCCGTCGCCCGTCGCCATGGACGCTGAGGCAGACCTCATCACCCCTCCGCACACTGCCCCGCGCCCAATAGCTGACGAGCAGCCCGTGCCGCCACCGAACCACGCGCAGGTGGATGCGGCGCTCCGCGCCCTGGGCAAGGTCCTCGACATGTCCGGCATGGGCAGCCTGGATCCGCGCTACCTGTGCGTGCTCAGGGTGCACAGGCCCTTCTTTCTGGGCGGGAGGGCCCGTCCGGCAGCCATCGTGCGCAAGCCGAACGAGGGGCACGGCGTGCTAGCCCCTCTGGGGAACGCCTTCAACTCGTGGTTTGGGAAGCCCGAGCAGCCGTGCGAAACGCAGACCGCCCTCCTTTCATGGCATTGGGCTGAGGACTTGATTGCCGTCGCCACGGGCGCCCGCCTGGATCGCATATGTGCGTTCAGCTTTCAAAACGGCGTGTGGGAGATTGCGGGGCAGCGAGTCCCGATGTTTCAGGGGACCAGATGTTTGGCGTTCCGCCCGTTCGCGGGGAGGGTGCTGGCCATCGGGTGCGACGACGGCGTTGTGCTGCTGAGGGGGACGAAGACTGAGCACTTGCGCGCCCCAGGGCACACGCATGTCGTGTCGCTGGATTGGTCCTCGGACGGGAGCAAGCTGGCGACGGCATCGGCGGCGGATGGCTTGGTGAGGCTTTGGGATGTGGGGACAGGCAAGTCCATGGTCGTAGATCGCGGCGGCTTAGTCTGCTTTAGCCGCGGGGCGGGGGGGAGGTTTTTGTTCGTCGCCAGTGCAGTCAGCAACTTTTTCAGGCTGTGGTGCACGGAGACGTGGACGATGGAGAGGTGGGGATACTTGTCGGGGCCTGTGGCGGCGGTGACATGGTCGCCGGATGGCATGGCGCTGTTCTTCTCAACGCATGGGGAAAGTGCAATTCATGTGATCAGTATTGGCGGCCCGAGGATCGACGATGACACCAAGGTGATACATACCGAGCACACGGAGCTGCCAGAGAAGGGAGGGCCGGGGGGAACGCCGGTGCTATTGGAGATGGATAACACCGGGGAACGGTTGGCGGTCGCGTATGAGACGCCGCAAGAAGAGCTCGAGTCAGGCGGCGGGCTGCACAATGAGGATTTTAGAACTGACCCAAATAGAAGGCATGTAGTAGCGCTTTATGCAACGCAGTTGCAGCCGACGTTCAGGATTAGCCCAGTCGGATATGTGTCGGGGCCGGAGGAGAGTGGACCGCCGGTGGGGATTAAGTTTAACTCGAGGGGGAATGCGAACAAGTTGACGGTGCTGTCGTGCATGTGGCGCAGTGGGGATGTGACCTGTACACAACTTCTGTTCAACCCTTATCGACAATGAGCTTTTGGAGCTGGCAACATGTACTGCGGTACGTAATGAAGCTGCTTGTTGCTGCCGCAACGAAAACTACTACCTAAACTACTAAATCAGACTTTTCGCTTGCAGGTTTCGCCAACATCTAAAGCGGCTTGTTTCCGCGTCAATTTCGAGAATACTTGTTGCGCTGCGGTCGATACTGCTGCAATAGAATGAGTAATGCAATGCTGTACCCAGTGGTACAGTACTTTGGATAGTTTTCTCATGTTCCGTGCGAGTCAGGGGGCTCAGCTACCTCAGCGAGAACATTAGCACGTTGTACTGTACCCTTGGTACTACACTATGTACTGTACATTAGAATATTGGTAATTTGTTTTCTCTACTAGAGGTAAGCGACCCATCCTGAAACTTAAAACACTGCTTCTCAGCAGTGCCTCGCAGCAGGCTCCTTGAGCAACGCGAGATTTCACCCTAAACGCAGCTGCCTCCAACAAACTGTCCAGAGAAATTACTCCCTTTCTCAATCCTTTCTAGCTCATATATGTCCTATTGGACGCCGCGGATTCCCAAGCTCTCGTTTGTCCAGCGCTTGATCCTTGATTGAGACACAACCTTTAAGCAAATTCATAGCGAGAGGGCGCGACGGCCATGGCAAGGTAGCGAAGAATGCTGCATGTGCCCTCGTCATCAAGGGCATCATGTGACGTTACGAATGTGTCTCTTAGGGCTTGCCGGCTCTCCTTGCGAGAATCAGAAGAACCATCGTACGTTGGATCACAGGAATAAGACATCAGCCGGAGAGTGGATAATCTGACAGCTTAGCCCGTGCAGCTGTGGTCGAGTTCAGTTCCATTTCCACTGCAATGAAACGAAAACAAGAGTCCCGACTATGATTCGTCTCAATATTGGTCAGCTGACGACTGGATCTGTCTGTGTCATTCAAAGCCCAACAAGTTGTGAGAAGGGGCATTAACCGAGGTTACTATCTATTGCACTTCGCGAACGAAACAGAAACATGTCAACTTGTCACACTCTCCAATTTCGCCAATGCTTGAAATGGATAAGATAATCCTTCACTTTTGTTGAGGGGGCATCTGCGAGCATCGAAAGACGATTTTCCTCCGGAGTTCTCCAGTCCTCGTGAATCAAACCACCGGTGTCAACACTATCAGGATTAAGGCACCAGTAGAAGAAAGGTATGTTCCTGTCTTTCAAGTATCGAAAAAATTCTGATTGCCACTCCCTGTCCATGCCATGGTAGTGACCTCCCCACTCCCCGACGACAGTTGCAATCCCAGAGGCTTTGCTTGATTCACCAAAGTGGTCATCCCATATACTTGGCATGTTCTTCGGGAAACTGGCATCCTTGAAGTAAGATTGGTTGTGAACTGACGGGCCGTAAACGTGAGGGCTCAAGACAACCTTGTTCTTGAGTTTCAGTTGCGGCGGAGCATCCTGTATATCGCGCAAATTTTCAGACCAGAATACTTCTGTCTTCGTAGTGCTCTCCCTGCCTCCGATGCCTTCGATAAAGACTGTCCAACTGGGACATGTTTCGTGAACGCTGTCTCCAAGTCGTTCTGCAGCTCGCTTCCAGTCTCTAGACTTATCTGAGGAATTCCACACGGCATCCCAAGGTTCATTATAAAGATCTGCACCCAAAACGTTCCATTCGTCTTTGAGGTGGTTGCAAAGAATTTTCCAAACATAAACAAGGCGATCTTCAGGAACCTCTTTGGAGTACCACAGCCCCTTACTCTTGATTTCGTGGGATTGCAGTCGATGAACGTCCAAAAGAATCAAAACATTGTTGTGTGCTGCTTTCCGAGTAATAGCTTTCACAACATCAATATAGGAACGGCCAGTGAGTTCAGGGTTCTTAAAGGTAACCGTGTATCCAATTGGATTCTTGACAAGGTTCTCCACGGACAATGGCAAGCGGATTGCGTTGAACCCAAACTTGCTTGTAAACTCGAATATCTCATTGATAGAAACTTTGTCCAAACCAGCTGGCATTACCGTGGGAGCTTCCATCCCATACCACGAGAATCCCTTGATCATAAAAGGACTCTTGTGACCAACGTATAACACTCCATCGCGTGAGTACAGTCCCGGAGGAATCCCCATTTGCCTGAGGCGGGCTATTGCAATAGTATTGCGAAGGCAAAAAACAACAACACCGCAAAGGACAACAACTGCACCGAAGATAGTCAAAATTCCTGTTTTGGACTTTAAGAATTTCTTCAGGCCATTTTGCTCGTACGAAAATTGCCTTGATAGGGCAGGAAAGATTGTGATATTCCTATCCCACTCGTCTTCGGAATGAGAACGGCTGGGCAAACGACCATTACTGTCTTCCTCCGGCGAGATGAAACCTTCGTCCCCCGGCAAAACAGATGCCTCCTGAGTCCTTTCGGCCGTTGAATGCCCGGACAGCGCAATGTAATTTCGACTTCTCGTTGTCATTTTCACAGAGGCACTGTAGTTTTCGGTCCTGAGCGCAAGGTCTAACACAATCCCAGGGGGAGAAGAGGAAATGGAACTACAACACAGACACCTGCACTTGCATGAGCATAAAAAGTGAATCAATTCTTGTGATCAAAGTCGTAGACTTTGGATGGAAAAGCAGCCATCGGCATTCGTCACATCAAGCCATGGACTCTTCTAATCCTGCCGATCGGCCCGATCGGCACTACAGTATCGCATGAACGAAAGGCATAACGAAACTCTGAGTGCCCAACCCAGCGGGCTGCCGCGCTAATACTGTAAGATTACTTTACAACTGCCTTCCCTCGCCAGGCCATTGTGGGGGGGGGGGGGGGGCTGTCCACACATATGATGGGCCCGTGCACAGTTGTAACTTGTGTCAAGGTTGCCAGCTATCGAGCGTGGCTCGATTTGAGACGTGGCGCGAGGTGCGCGGATACACTAAGTGCAGACGCCCGCCCTGTGATATTGCATCGGCCCCCCCTGAAAGTTAGAAAAATAAACCAATCAAGTGCACACAACGTTTACTACACACTACGTCCGTACTTAGTCACGTCTCTCCCAGCGCCTTACTGTTAAAGATTGGGTGGACATTGGGAGCTGATTCGGGATACAGTTGTAAATCTATGTGGCTCGACACTGCACCTCGGCGTGAACAGTAGCAGGTCTACGACGGATGACAGGGGTTCTAATCTACGAACAAAGAGTGAGAGCACAGTCGCGCTCGGAAACCCAAATGGCTGGTTTCCTGGTTGCTCAGGTTTTTGATGGTATGCTATCCTCTGCCCTTCCTTACTCTAGTATTTGCCTCTAGAGTCGCGGTTTAAATAGACGCCGTCTATGCTTAATTATCAGTACCGTTCTTGCCGTAAGGTCGCGTACTTTCGAATGCTATCTTTTTGTTGGACGTGTCCCACGCCCAACTCTTTGTATTGCCGATAGTGCATGTGTCCTGTTTGTATATGGCGGCCGTTGGTGCTTTACCAACACTGCCTGTGTTCAGGTGGCATCCGATCTGCTGATCAACCAACACTGCCTGTGTTCGGTTTCTTTGAAATGCACATTGCAATTGATCGTGTTCCATAGTGTCTTACAGTCATAGTGACATTCAGTATTCCACAACAGTACACTGATCACAGTATTTAACCCAGACACACAAAATAGTGGGCGCCTCCTGAAACCCATAATACACAAATTGTGTGTACAGTGCAACCTCCCAATAAGGGTGTGTCCACCGGTGCGCTGCAAACGCAAAATCTGCTGCAAAAAAATTTTGCAGCACAGTTTTAGAGAAAAATGTGTGTCCACCGGGACGAACGCTATAATACTTTGCAGTATTTTGCTGTATAATTTTAGTGTTTCTGCTGCAAACGTTTTTTTTGCAGCAGATTTTTAGCGCAATGCTAAAAAAAACTGCAAACTGCAAACGGAAACGTCCTACTATTTGGCCTCGAAATCAAAGGTCTCCAGGGTCACAGGTGGGGAAGGCGTCCCAGTTCGCCACACCTGTCACGGTCGCACACTCTGCGCTTGCGAATGCGACCAAATGGCGACCGTCTTGCCTGACAATGGCGATAGCGTCGAGGAGGGAAGAGCCCTAGCGCGGGGCTTGGGCCGCGCCCATTGCGCGGCACCACGCCAAGGAACAAGGGCGGAAAAGGCCTGAAACTGAACGCAGTGGAGGCAGTAGCCGTCTGCAAGACTGCGGTCGCCGCCATGACAGATCCGGTCATAGGCGCGGACCAAAAAGCCTCAGACATTGAGGCCCTACTGGCAGTGGAGTTTTTAAAGCACCAGCCGGGCGGGCACCCTGAGCCCGGCCGGCGCGACGGAGGCCCGCTTGACGACCGCCGATGGACCGGCCGTTCGGGGAGATCGCTGTACAAGTACTACAAGGACATCAGGAGATGCTGTCGAAAGTTTATGGCCGTTTTCTTGCGCATAGACGCCATGAACCTCACGGGCAGCCCTACCGAGGAAGACGTATGGCGAGCAGCAACATACTCGTACAACAAGGAGAAGTTCATCCCATCAACTATGTACGACATCTTTAGGAACAAGGAGTATGACCTGGGGCCGCCGTTTCCCTATCTGGACGCGTACCGGTGGCTGATGATGCACTCCAGAGTGCTCGAAGTTGGTGATGCTATCGCCAGCCCGACTGATCAAGCTGCAGGCATTTCAGCACCATCTGCGAATCGCGACGACACTGCTAATGCCACTGGGTATATTGAAGCGCCCGAGATTATACGCCCGAGCGATGACAGGGGGGCTGAGAGGCCGCAAGGCAGGAAGTCCGCCAAGAAGAGAAAAGCTGAGGCGTCATCGTCCGCCCTTGAAGATCTCGCGTCCTCAGTGCAGCAATAAGCAAGGGCTACCACTGCGATTAGGACTACAGATGCGGAGGGGCCCCACGGCAAAAGAGCGCGAACCCGAATAGCTCAGCAGAAGTGGCACCTACAAGCTCTGCAAACCGTTTTTGCAGACTCGATGGGCGGCACCGAGGCCCAGCAGTTGTCCTTGGCCAAGCATATCCGAGAGGGTGTCATGCGAGATCTGAGCATCGCAAAAGAGGCCATGCTGGAGGCATCAGCATCACCCTCAGGCTGCGAGCCTGAGGGTGATGCTGATGCCTCCAGCGATGATGATGTGTATTTGTGCGCAGTTGGGCGTGAGAAGTGTATCATCCGGGGCGCCAGCTGCCCCGAAAGGTCTTCCAAAAACGTTGCGTGCCCCAGCTGGCCGCGAAAGCTGCACGACGCATGCGCAAATGCGATATGGGAGGAGGCGAGACGCGCTTGGGAAGAAGACTACAAATTCTGCTCCGCTGGCTGCTATGAGTCAGTTGCCAGCACTACTCGCAGTGCAGATCTGTAGCGGCGCTCGCGTGCGAGCCCCCTTGTGAGGAGCAGAACGTGGAGCAACGGGCAAGCAGTCTTTGTTGTTGTTCTGAATCCAAATGGTCGAGCGGTGCGTCTGTTCTATAGCCTTCCCCTTTTGCGCACCCGGATGGGGCAACGAGCGCGAGTGGCGGGGTCGCTCGCGCGCGGTGAGCAGTGAAATAAAATAGAGTAGCCTCTGCCTCTTTGGAAAGAGGAGGCAGAGGGCAATTGTTCGCCATTCCGTTTTTCAGACGCGACACCAGTCGCCGCGTGGACCCCCCCCCCCGTAGTCAGAACAACGTCGCTCATCCAATCCGCTGACGCTTTCTCTTTTTCTAGGCACAATGTGAGGCCGGAGTACTGCGCTGTCAAGATCGCTTTATTTCTGCTACGCACTACGAGTCTGCCCCAGAGACTCGCCATATATGATCTTGGAGAGCCTCAAGAAGAGCTTGCTGCTGTTGGAGATCATCGGTTCCATCCACGTGTGTTTCCCAAAACTCCCGCAGCTCAGCTTCGCTGGCAGGCTGCTGAGGTCTTACCACACGCATGGCATCCGCATCTACGCGCATTATAGGGTCCGCGTATCCATCACGGCGGGCAGCAACTACCATATTATGTATGATAGCGCAGGCTTGAACAACTGCCCGCATGTCCGCTTTTCGATAAAGGCGAGATGGCTGAAAGAGAATATTGAATCTCTTGAAAAGAACTCCGAAGAGCCTTTCCACAGACTTGCGCTCTGCTTCTTGCCTCTTTGAATATAACTTGCCCTTTGCAGTTGTTGAATATGGTAGCGGAGGGGCGAAAATTCTAAATCGTGGGTATATCCCATCGACTAGATAATAGTACCACGTCAACGATAGGCCCTCCACGATCCCTTGCGACCTCTGCGGTGGCCATGACCCGGCGCGAATCGCATTGAATAACGGCGACTCGGAAACAATAGATAAATCGTTTGCCGCACCAGCTGTACCAAAGTATAGCCACCAGATATACATATCGAAGTCACAAATTGCTTCTAGTCTAACTTCGGGCTTGCCTCCCCTTCCCTTGAAGGCGCCGTGATCTGCTGTTGGACACATGCCCCATACCCGCCCGGCGCAGTCACAAACGCCAATACACCCTGGAAATCCGCGCTTCGCGTACTCCGCTTCAATGTATACCAGCTCTTCCGGCGTTGGGAGGCGCAAGTACTCCCCCTTAAACTGCGAGACGACAGCCTTGCAAAAGCTCTTCGAGCACTCTGCGTTTGCGGACTTTGAAAGTCGGTTGTACTTGGTGATCGCTTGGCCAGACACTCCGGTTGCCAGTTGCCAGATCGCTGCAACAACTTTCCGATCTGTGCTTGCCCCGAGCAAACCGGTTGCGTCAGCGCGCTGCTCGAAGTACTGCGGCATGTTGTGCAATACTCCTGCCCGCAGCCGCGGTATACAGATCGGGGCATGCGGAAGTCTCTCTCGAACTCGTCCTCGCTGAACACTGGCGGCCTCCCATCCAGACCGAAATAGTCAGCCTGGAGCACCCGCTCATGCGCTGCTCTTTGTTTGTCGCGATTCGGAGCCCTTCCGGACCTGGACCCCTTTATCGCTGGCGCCGCCATATCAGTGATAGCCGCCACAATTGAACCTAGAATTGGACCCAGAATTGACGCGCCCGATGAATCGTGAGATGAGAAAAGAGATGAGGAGCTTGTTGAACTCGGCATTGCCATGGCGCGGCCACAGGGCTTGCGATGACTGCAATGCCTAGGGCTATGTAATAATCGGCCATGCTTACGCCCAAGGTGGTACTTGATGTTGTCTGATGTGCAATCGTGATCGGGGAGGATAGAACGTTTAGAGCACTAAACCTCGACAACCGGTGGACTGCACACACAGAACTGCAAAATTCGTTTAGAGCTATCCAGTCACTACATTACACGTGGGATTTCGTATAGCGCAATTTTTGGCATTTGCAGCGCACCGGTGGACACACCCTAAGAGTGCTGTTCGGAAAAGACAAAGATACCCATAGACAGAGATTTATCAGGGCCGTTCCTAACGAAGAGTTAGGTGTGCTAGCACGCAAGCACCCTGACATTTGGCATGAATGGATTGGTTGAACGGGAGTAAAAGCATTTCCAATAATTTTTTCAACCAATACATTCATGCCAAGTTTCAGGGTGCTCCGGTGCTGGCACGGCGAACTCTTCGTAAGAACGGCTCTCACTACGGGAGGCGTTATTATCATAACTGTGTCCTAAAAATCACTGATTCTCGTTTGACAAAATTCCTCCCGCGCTTGACGTTTCAGTCCCCGTTGCACCTTTTCCAACCCCCGTAGAACCGCCCCAGAGGTGTCATAATTGCTCATAATGACGTGAGCAGAAGCCAAAATGCGCAACTGCTTACAAAGGGGAGGCATAAACACTTCCTCATCGCCTCCTTCTTCTCTGTTCCCCGAATCTTCTTCGAGACCGGAGATAAAGGCAACCAGATCGCGGTCTGTGACTGGCTCTGTAGACTCCATTCCTGATTTGTGATGAAGTGGGTACTCCACTCGCATTCGCTCGCTGCTATCCTGTACAACTTGATCAATTTCGATGTCAAGTTCGCGACGGCCACGGTGCAACACCATTTCACCGTTCACATCAACATTCTCACCTACGACTTTGGTGTGACACCAGCAGTTTCGAATAACCCTACTATCCATTTCTTCCCATGCTTTTTTATCCAACGCATACCTTGTAGCACATCAACCTTGTACATATTCTTCTCTCCCATATCAATAAAGTCAAGAGCTCTGCCCATTTTCAATCTCCTGTAGCGACACTTCAAAGCAGCGATAATTCCCGCATCGCATGGCTGCATGATTGATGTGGTATTCGGAGGAATGAAAACAATCTTCGTGTTGGACAAGTTCAATGTGTCAACCTCTGTCATCGTTCCATGTGTGGAACAGTTGTCTAGCAAGAGAAAAGCTCTCCTTCCTTTCTCAATCATCCTTTAATTGAAAATTTGGAGCCTCTCAGAAAAACTGCCTTTTTCATCCAAGCCTTGGCATTATCTCTGTAGTCGAACCCCAGCTCCTCGCCACTTTTTCCCCGAAAAGCACGTGGCGATCGAGCGTTTCCAATTATCCGCAAGGGAACCAAATCACTTCCACTAGCGTTGCAACAGACCAGACACGTGATTCTTGCCTTGTCCTTTTTAGGTCCACGAAGTTGTGTGGCGGCAATAGTCTTGTTGGGTGCTAATCGGTACTGCAGACCGAATTCGTCGGCGTTATAAATCTCGTCTAAATTGTAGCCGTCACGCATCGTCCTGATGATGAGAGGTAGTGCTCCCTCAGCCTCAGTAAACGCAGCCGATGCCTGCTCGCCATGATATGATATGCGTCTTAATCCATGCCTTTTCTTAAACTTTTGAAGCCAGCCGTTGGAAAAACGGAGCTCTGGAGCCGTTTCGTCGTTCGTTGTCAATTTCCAAAGACGTTCTGCCTTCTGCTTGATGATATTATCCGAAAGGGCGATATTGCGGCTTGCGCAGTCGCTGATCCATACAGCAAGCGCTTCATCAAATCGTGAAGACAACGGGTTCCGAAGAGATTTCGAATTTGTGGATGCACTCGCCTCTAGGTTGCTGCCCATTTTGACAATGCGCGAGACAGTAGACTGCGTAACAGGTCGGTTGAGTTTAAAGTAACGACCTGCCCATTCTCCAACAGAACGCTGGTCACAGCGTTCCCCGTTGCGACGGCGAAGATCATACTCGGCAAGCAGCTCTTTTTGCTGAGCGATAGTAAGGCGATTGCGTTCTGACATGACTTGAGCGGGATGGGGGAGAAGGGAAATTGTCAAGGAGATGAGATGGGCTGCTGCCTGCGACCGCACGCGCTATGCAAGACCTTGGTGGGTATCGTGAATAAAAAGGCGGGAGTTGGTCGCCCAACACATACCTGTTGGCGTCGTGTTCTGTGACCACTACTGTATCTGTAGTGCAATGCGCCTGTCAGGCAGAGACCGCGGTCCGATGGTCCAGCAAAAACAACAACAGCAACAAAAAAGAAGAAGTGCCGACGGCACAGCGCTACGGAGTGTCCGACTCTCCCTTCTCCGTTTAAACGAGCTTTCCACTCGTAGTAACTTAGATCCCTGATAGGGGGGGCACAGAGAAATAGCCCGGCCCGGGATCGATGTGGTAGAGACTTGCGAAGAAAACTGCTCGACGAGTGTGGGGTGCGGAGCGTACTTAGGTACCCTGGTTCCACTTGGTTGTAAGGCCAATGCTCGTTGAGCTTCTTCGCCACCTTGTAACGCGACAAAGCCTTCGACGGGGGCGTCGCAACGCAGCCCGACGGAATGAAACGAAAGTAGCAGCGCTACGTCAACTGTGCCGCCCGATGACTCGAAACACCTACACCGGTTCGGTCGCAACCGAGGCCGATGGCACCAACACTGGCTTGTAACGCGACAAAGCCCTTCGAGGGAGACGTCGTTCCAACAGTCTCCGTCAGAAAATGGGTCACAGTAGCAGCGCTACGTCAACTGTGTCGCCCGATGGCAAAGACACCTACACCGGTTCGGTCGCAACCGAGGCCGATGGCACCAACACAAGATAAGGGAAAATAGGTAGAATTAGAGATAGAAAAGGATAGGGAAATAATGGAAAAGGAAAGGGAACCCCCGAGCGCAAAGGATAAAGTAATCTGTAGTTAAAGGGAATGTCTTGTAAAAGACGGACTTCGACCAAGGCGATATCAGACTCTGGCAACTCGGGTTTGATTGGGAAATCAAAGAAAGAGGAAGGGGACCCCCGAGCGCTGAAGGATGCCGTAGGCTTAGGTAAAAGGGAGCGTCTTGGTAGAGACGGACTTCGACCAAGGCGACATTCAACTCCGGCAACTCGGGTTACCTTTACTGACTTGGTGGTCAGCGGGCTAAGGTATATATCGCCCCGCCGGAGCCACTACAGGAGCTCGCGGTGCTAGATCTTAGATCTAATCTAGTGTCAGCCAAATTAATACTGACTAATTAGCTAAATAAAATTAATAATTAAAATGAAAACTGTGCAAATATTCACACGTGTGTCCCCCAATCCCGGACTACAGTATTCACATTCCAACTTAATTTCTTTTCCCTTCACCCCCTTGTAGAGCCCCATATTGCACTACACGATCCTTATTCGAAATGGTCTTGCTTCAAAATTTTAATTAATATTCAATTTGTTTTCGCGAAATCAACACACTATTTCCGTATCCAGATGACCTGCCCATACCATCTCAGATCACACTTTTTCTTAGGGGAAAGACGGGTGGTATTCATACTGAGGGGTGAATTACTATCGAGGGAGTACTATTGGGAGGGCTGACTGTACACAAATCACCATTTTTGTGTACATCACTGTAATTTGTGTATGCACAAATGACAAAACTGGTATAGGCTCGACCACGGACGAGGCAAATGTGCAACATACACAAATCGCATTTTTGGCGGGAATGAGAGCGAGAACGGGATAGCATCCTCCGCCAACAAGCGCATCTCTGTCTTCCGCATTCCCGCCTCCAACATCCTCTATCCTCCAGCTCCCATCCCCCAGCTCCCATTTTCCAGCTCCCATTCTCCAGCTCCCGCCAGCATGCCCACGGGCGCGGGGGCGTCATGTCCGGCACTCGCGGCGTGAAGCGCCACGCGTCATCGGCGATTGGCGGCATCGGTAGGATGCACGGCTCGACGTCGACAGACTTAAGCCAGTACGCCGCGCGCGATGTGCGGTCGTACTCCACGGCCATCATGTTCAGCGGCGGTTTGGCCCGCCGGAGCTCCGGCGGCACGTGCACGTCCAGCACGCGCACACGGTCGCCGCTGGTCACGGCACACGCGAGCAGTGTCAATCTATTGACAACGACGCGCGCTCGCGCGTGTCGGGCGCATCGAGCAGGGGTGGGGTCGACGGCGGGAAGGCGGGCGGATCACGCGGCGCGGTCTTGGAGACGTGAACGAGGCGCAGAGGCATGCGCTCCATGGGGAATGGAGTCCCGGCCTCGAGGAAGAAGCGCATGGTCACGACGGGGGCGATGACGGCGACGTCCTTGTGGCGGCTGAAGACGTAGGCAGCGACGGAGTCCTCGGCAACGTCGCGCTCGACGCCGCCGCGGGCGTGGACCTCGGTGAAGCCCTTGCAGAAGTGCACAGGGACGCCCGGGACGAAGGCGCCGTTGGCGAGCCACCAGCGGGGCACGAGGGAGGCTGCGAGCGAAGAGGGGGTGGCGGCAGAGAGCGCGTGCTGGGGTGGGGCGATGCCGAGATGACGGCGCGCGAACGAGGCCCAGATGGCCGGGTCCGTGACGGCGGCCACGGTGGTGCTGCAAAACTGGGAGCAGAGGGTGGTTTCGGCGGGGATCATGCGGTCGAGAAAAGGAAGGAGGACATCGTGCGGAAGGTGAGGGAGCGCCTGCTATTACTTTCTTGGCGGAGAAGCAACAGCAGCAGCGCAGATGAGGGAGGCATGCCTTCTCAGGGATATACCGGTCGGTTTCGCGTCTCGTCCGCAGAGCCCTTCGATGCCATTGAGTAGGAGCAAAATTACTGCTCGTCAGTCAGTGGAGAAATTTGTGCACACGAGTTTCAGGGGTGAAACAGAAGCACATTTCTAGATTTTGAGAAGTTTGTCAAAAAAATGTGTACTGCACAAAAATAGTTTCAGGAAGCGCCCAGTATGGATTCAAAATTAATATGGTCCAGATAAATTGTTGTGACCAGCCCAGCCCTTCTCCTCCGCTTGTCAACCGGGCGTGCGATATGGATGCGCCGTGATATGACTGATATGCACTCCGCCCGGTGCAATATCGCTGTATTGCACTGGGTCGGGTGCCATATGGAGATATTTCACTGCATTACATGCATTGTTTATTTATTGGTACTATTATACAGTGCTCTAATGCCAACGGTAATAGTTGTGCAAATTGATGGTA